GTATTGCAGTGGTGATAGTTGTTCTGGTGTGACTGGTGGTAACGTGAATGATGACGGTCTTGTACAAATAACAGTTATATCTGACTAGCAACATAGAGTTCAACTCGTTCCAGGACTTTTTTAGGACAAATTAACTGAGCCGCCAGTTTTTTTTCACGAAATTGCTTCGCAACATAGTACGTGAACATTGAGAAGCCTTGTTGACGCGACAACTTCCCGTTTAATCACGAGTTCTGACGAGGGTCGTTAATTGGATGATAAGATTAAGAATGTAGTCTTTTGCTTCGACGAAGACTTGGCGAAGACGGCACTTGCTCCNCCCGCACTTTTTTCACAAAATTGCTTAGCAACATAGTACGTGAACATTGAGAAGCCTTGTTGACGCGACAACTTCCCGTGTAATCACGAGTTCTGACGAGGGTCGTCAATTGGATGATAAGATTAAGAATGTAGTCTTTTGCTTCGACGAAGACTTGGCGAAGACGGCACTTGCTCCCAGCAGACTTAACACCCGCTCACTGTCTTACCAAGAAGTACCGAGACTTATCAAGGCGTTTTAAACATTCTAAATTTATTTTCTGTTATAGTTACATAGCTTTGATTCACGCCCATTTAGTTTACTCTCATGATACAAAAGGTTTAAAGTACAGCCAGTAAGTTCAAAGATTCAAAGTTTATTTGCTTCTTGTTTCGAGTGAGGAAGAAGTGGGGAACATGTTTGTGCTATGATGTTTTGATACATGTATGCATGCATGCAAGATATTTTCTAGGGCATTAAGCATATGCATCGGAATGTTGTCTACTAAATTATTAGCATACGGTATTATTAGTGCTTATAAGCGTTTTTCACATTCTCTTGATTTATTTTTCTCCTCGCTTTTCAATGAAGCCTCAGTTGTTTGTATATTCACCGTACCGGCGCATTCGCAATTAGCCAATATCATGCTTGTTTGGTCACGCCATGGCTCCACCAAAATTTTAGTAAAATTACGAGTAATGACATTTTATCACTCGGTTAGTTGATAATGCTGACTTAATTTTTGGAATAAACATGTCTTGTGAATGATTGTGGTTACGTCAAAGCTAGTAGGTAAAGTTAGGTGGATAATTGACCAAGCGTGGGTTCAAGATGGCTGGATGTTGGCCAAGTTCTTTTTCAGCGTGTTTATTGACCGAGACGGAGTCGAGGTCCCCAATAAAAACAGGGAGAAAAAAAGAACGAGCCCAATACGTTTGTATCCAGCCATCCTGACCGAACAAGCTTGGTCAATAAGGGAGTTATCCCAAGATAGCCGGCGCCATCTTTCCTGCTCGGGTAGTCAATGGAGGCGCAGGATTTGGTTTATCTTGCGCCCTCTCGGAGCAGGCCATATAATAAAACGAATTATAAAAGTAAGACTTTTAGCACGCTTTGTTACAGGCCCCTTTGTTTTCCAAAACTTCACAAAGGTTGGAAATGTTTACGGTGGGGTGACGGGGTTACAAAGTTTTGGAAATCATTACATGGTTTAGCTGGTTTTCACATGACGTCACCAAAATTCGAACCACAAAACTATTGATCTTTCTGAGATTTTACCTAAATGATGTATAAGAGCAGCTGAAAACTAATATTCATACAAATTTTCGCTCCGAATGGGTTCTTGGTTT